ATGCACACTTCACACAGAAATGCTAACTGACCCAGTCGAGGCTCGAACCAGCAACCTTCTTGCAGTGAGGTGACAGCGCTACCCACTGAGCCACTGTGCTGCCCCGTTTTCTTAACAATAGATTGAAGAGAAAAAAAAACACATTGTGAAGAGCCAAAAAGCCCAAAATCTCAAAATTGTTGCACCAAAGAAAGAACAACAACAAAAACAACTGTGTTTCCAGCTGCAGCTTCTAAAAGTGCAACAGCCCAACCACAGGCTTCTGTGTGTCCAACTGGAATATATTTAGGCATAAAATGCTTTACATAACCTGATCCACAGCACACTCATGCAGTACATGCTCAAATGAACTTAATTACCTGATCAGTAGGCCTACAGTCATTCATAAAATCTTAACAAGCTAACCTCCATGCAATCTCCCAAAGCAGTTGCAAGCTTTTCCTGAATTGCGCGCCCAAACAAAGAAGCATTACAGTAATCTTATGAAAGCATGTTTAAGTGGATTAGCATTTTTAAGTTTCTAAAAAGTCTCAAATCTTTCCTCAACATAATTTTTTTATTGTTATTTTTGTTTCTACGTCTTCTTTTCATCTAGAAAACAACACTGTAAAACCCAATAGGTTTAGGTAACTCAAACCATTTGAGGAAACCGATTGAAACAAACCATTTGAGTTCAAAAACTAATCCTAATGAGTACTGTGAACTTAACCCATTTGAGTAAACGAAGCAATTTGAGCACAGTAAAACCCAATGGATGAAGAGAACTCAAACCAGCTGAGTACTGTTAAACCCAATAAGTTAAGGCAACTCAAACCGTTTGAGGAAACTGATTTCTACAAACCATTTGAGTAAAAAAAAAAAAAAAAAAAAAAAAAAAAAAAAATATATATATATATATATATATATATATATATATATATATATATATATATATATATATATATATATACGAGTACTGTGAACTAACTAACTCATTACCTTCAACACTGAGTTCAAAACTCTACTTTAAATGAATAGAATTACCTTTCAGTCAATTCTGAGTTGACTACACTCATTTCATTTGATAAAGTTGACTGTTGGGTTTTACAATGAAGCTATCTTTGTAGTTGTGTTTTCCCACAATCAATCAACCATACGGCCACATACACAACAAAACAGACCACAAATAATAAAGACAATATGAATGCAGCTAGTTGCGAAGATCATAAACCTCACTGTGTGAATGTAAACATTCATGGACAGCAGGAATGTGTAACCTCCCGTGGTTTGTTGAGGATCGTTTCTTCTAGTTTCTAAAACTACTTGCGACAACAACAGTCATTGTGTAATTGTGTGGTTTTTCGATGACAACACGGTGCTATTTAAAACAACACAAAAGCGCAGACAATTTACTGGCGTGTTGGTGGTCTGGTGGCAGTATTTGTCTCCCCCTATCGGTGAGAGCAGGGCGACGCTAAACGGGTGTGGCGCCCGCTGGAATTCAGCTCCGGCCTCCGGATGATGGTTTTGACTAAGTTAAGGGTGTGAAACGAATTCCTTTTTTTTTTTTTTTTTTAAAGAAAGCTGGAAATATGTAACTACTGACTTCTATAGTAGGCCTATATGTTTTTCCTATTCAGGTGTAAATGTTTACAAGTTCTTATTTTGTCTTTGACAGACGAAAGTAATACCACATTTTAAACAAGGTTAAAGTGAATGTTTGCCCAAATCTTCACCAAAGATTTGTCATCAATTACGGGCCCTTCACTTCTCTCAAACAAGTTTGAGTTTCTTATTGGAAACCAAATAATGATATTATGAAAAAGGCTATAGTATTTGGAAAGGTCATGTTCAGCCAAAATGAAAATTCTGTCATCATTTACTCACACTTGTACCATTTTGAGTTTCTTTCCTCTGTTGAACACAAAAGAAAATATTTTGCGGAAAGCTGAAAATCTGGAACCATTGACAATAGTATTAGTTTTTTCGATTCGGGTAAATGTTTACACATTTTCAGCTTTCTTCAAAATTTCTTCTTTTGTCTTCAGCAGAAGAAATAACTCAAAGATTTGAAACCACTTGAGTATAAGCAAAAAGTGACTAAATTTTCACATTTTAAAAACAAGGTTAAAGTGATTGTCCACCCAAAATGTTCACCTATGGATCTGTCAATTACTGGCCCTTCACTACAAACCAGTTTGAGTTATCTTTTTTTTTTTTTTTTAACCAAGTAATGATATTGTGAAAAGGGCTAGGGTATACTGTTTGACTTTCCAATATGGATGACAATGGTTTCAAGTTTTAGGGTGAACTATTCCACATCTCCAAACCTGACAAGCCCATATAAAGAACTTACGATGACAATCAAAAAAGCATTCAAATAAATATTAACTAAATGCATAGATATCCCTCTTTGTAAGCAGATGTGTTTTGCTGGACAAAATGAGCACATCCACAAAACAGGAAAAAATAAATTCAATAAACCATGTGATGAATCCAAACAAGATTCCCAGAGTGAAGAATGTGCAATACCGACCACAAAAGGAAGATGGCAGCATTACTTCTACAATGAATGCGAAATTCATTTGGAGCCATAAACTTGTATGTTTACCCTCATGGGTCCGTTCTGGTGATAGAAACAAATTTGTACACTGAAAAAAAATACTGGTTACCTTCATTTTTTTAGGCTGAATCAAATTGACCCTATGAGTCATTTAAATTTACAGATGGAGTCAGAATTATTAGGCCCCCTATTAACAGAGAGACGATTTTCTCAACACATTTCTAAACATAATAGTTTTAATAACTCATTTCTAATAACTGATTTATTTAATCTTTGCCATGATTAAAGTAAACAATATTTGACTAGATATTTTTCAAGACACTTCTAAAGTTTAAAATGACATTTAAAGGCTTAACTAAGTTAATTAGGCTAACTAGGCAGGTTAGGGTAATTAGGCAAGTTATTGTATAATGATGGTTTGTTCTGTAGACTATCCAGAAAAAAAAGCTTAAAGGGGCTAATAATTTGACCTTAAAATGTTCAAATTTAAAACTGCTTTTATTCTATCTGAAATAAAACAAATAAGACTTTCTCCAGAAGAAAAAAATATTATCAGACATACTGTGAAAATTTCCTTGCTCTGTTAAACATCATTTAGGAAATATTCAAAAAATAAAAAAATAAAATTCAAATTCAAAAAGAAATTCAAAGCATATTATTATTATTACGTCAACTGCATATTATACTAAACTGACTTGAAACAATTTGTGCAACTTATAAATAGAAATATAACTTATAAAGAGAGCGTGATTAACTTAGTTTAAAAAGTTACAATGAACTAAAAACTTATTTTGCCATGATTAATTGATCATATAAGGTTTTACCGTGTATTTTTCAGAAATGTGTCGTTTTGGGAAATCATGAGCTTATAAAGTCAAAAGGAATTTATACTCAATTCATTCTCAATGAGAAATATTGGTATTCTCTGAGAGTAACCATGAAACTAATACCTTATTTTGTGTGTATAGCCTACTTTATTTTATGTCAGCTTGTTTTTCCCTTTATAAATTATTATTTTAATTAAATTAATAAACAGCAGTTTGTCTTTTTTGCAAAAAGATTAATAGGCCTTCACCAAGTAGTGTTCTCCATGCTTTCAATAAGATGTTCCTCAAGTGTTAATGTTTTGATTAAACTTGTGAGTCAATAAAGGCAGAAAAGAAAGTCATAAAACAATGATTCCTTGAATTATGAGCATTAAATGTAAAATTGAGAAATGAGAAAACAAAATGCTTTTAATTCTTAAACACAAAAGTTCTCCAAAAATTCCAAATGTAAATAAAAAAAAGGTTGGCAGCAACAAAATATAGGCCTAGCAGTACCACATACTGTATTTTGCCTATTTGTTTTCTTGATTTTGTGGTTAAAAAGATAAATTTAAATGAATCAAAAAAGTTGCTGAAAAGGCAATTTAAATCTTCAAAGACAGACAAAGTGACTCTTGAATTTCAGATGACTTAAGCTATTCTTTAAGAAAATTTCCACTTTAAGAGATGTGCTTGCAAACTTTTCTAATTTAATATAGACTATTTTTCTCTGTATTAGATAACCTCACCTGAACTTCTTCGACTCTGCAGCACAGAATATTAAAGCCTTCCAAACTGCACCTGTTAACTTAGAAATGTTCTGGCTTTTTGGCTGGTCATAAAGCATTTAATTTGTCAGGTTAATGTAAAAAAAAAAAAAAAAGCACACAAAATGCACTTTTGTGTTTCTTTAGTTGCACTTGTTCATCTTGGCAGTAATTTAAATGTTGCATATTTAAAAATAATTACACCAGCACTAAGATATAGCTCCACTTCAGCAGTACTTACAGATTTACTCATATTCTAAATATTTTATTTTTTACAGAGAGATTTGATTTGATTGCATTCAACATGTTATACAAATATTTGTCTGGCTGTTTTCTTTTCCAGAATTATGGAATGCTAAAAAGACATTTTTGTGTACTAAAAATGTAGATTAATACATGAAGTAATGTCTAATTTACATTAAGATATTTCATTTCATATTCAAAGCTAGTTTGGTAATAGCAAGGTAATTTACCTTATCCACCAGTATTATCATGACTCAATTTCACAAATGTTCCAACCTAGTGCTTTATATTTACTTTTTTCTTTCTTTCTCTATAATTTCTCATGACCTTGGAAAACCCTGAATGAGCGATTCAGTGATGCGTTAAATCACGTCGTTAAATCAATTTCCACACACGAGCCCGAGGGGTCGTTTAATTTACACCGTGGCCAAACCACAGTAGGAGGGCGAGAGAGAACCACGTCGTGACATTAAAAATCAAAGCTGCCGAGTCAAGAGGCGGCGGCGGCTGCACAACACGCCCGCCCGGCTCATGACGCGGCAGAGGCGGTGAGTCCAAGCGCGTGGTGTCGCCGGGGGAACCGGAGACTGACAAGCGGGCAGGGGAGGGTGGACTGACTCTCTCCCTGGCACAAACCCGTCCACTCACAGTCACAGCACAGACACAGAGCCACCGTCTCTGCCGTGAATCATTCATTTGGCGGTATAAAGCATTGGTGTCGGGCGGCGGATGGTGCTGGTGAAGCCTGTGATGCTGATGATGATGGACGGACAGCACAGCCGCTGTAAGGTCGTGGTGGTCGGGGACACGCAGTGTGGAAAGACGGCGCTGCTGCATGTATTCGCCAAGGACAACTACCCTGAGGTGAACTCAGATTATTAATTGGCGTTAAATGTCTTAAGAAGAACAGAAAAGAAGTTGCGTGGATTGATGATGATGGTGCCTGTCAGAGTGTGTTAAAGTAGGCGGGCTATGGCTGTTTAGTGAACAGTAGGTTGCATTGAAAGTTGCAATTTTTAACGAGGTAAATAAATAAACTGCATGATGTCCCGTGCGTGTGTATTAAGGGACTGGTCATACTTGAGCGCAGCATGATAAGAAAAGAAGGAGTCAGGGGTTTTGGCACTGAGGCGCTTGTGGCACGAGCTGTTAGTAACAGGGTGCAAATTAAGACTTGAAAAAACAAAAGTTTTAGCGTTTAAACGCTTCTCTAGGCGTACTTATCTATACAAGTTATATAAAACAGTTGGTCATATTCAGAGATTAAGTCAAAAGCTGGCGTTGTCTTTTAATTATCGTGTGAAACATACTGTTGATTTATGTGGAAAAATAAGGGTTTTGCTTTGAAGTGGGCGATATCGATTTTCTCTTTTTTTAATTCGTCAACTGATATTGGTTACTATTTAAATGGGCATGTTTTAATGTTACATGTTAAGATTATTACTTAAAGGCAAATCATATATACAGCAAAAGCTAATATGATGACAAATTAATTAAAATGTTTGCTTAAAATAATTTATTTTATACTGAATATTTGGACAAAATATTTTTATAGATAAAATATATATTTTTTTTACAGTAGGCTAGTGTGATTCAAACAAACTAAAATACTCATCCTTTCCTGAGAGTCCTTACAGACTAACTTCAACTTTGTACATATCTATTTAAACATGCAATGTGTCTTGTTTTGAAATATTCTCTAAGTTTATGGCTGCTTGAAAAAGGGATCTTTTTGAGTTACATTTATAGCAGCGATTCCCTATACTCTCAGTGATCGCAAGATGCATATCTTAGTATTCAATCAAGCTTTAGATTGGTGTTTAAGAAAATTAAAATGTTTAGTTTTAAGTCAATTTCACATCTAGCCTTAGAAAATGCTGTTTCTCTATACATTGAGGGTGAGATACTGCAGTAATGATGTGCCCATCTCTATAGGGGTAAAATTAAAAGCATGTGATATTTGTGTGCTCAGAGAGTCTCTTATAAATTGTATGACAATTTTCAACACAATGTCTAAATGATGTGAAAAAAATGTTCAGTTTGTAGACTGCAGTTCACTTAATGGCCCCTGGCATCTTTCTCATCTCAATTCTACATATATCAACAATTCGTTCTAAGTTTGCAAAGTTTTTAAGCAACTGTTATTTAAAAAAAAAGAAAAACAAATTGGTGACTGAGTTGTAAACAGTGCACAACAGGACAAAAATCATGCAAGTAAACGTTAACAGTAGGCTGCACAAAGTTGGTACATTGATTAAACATAAACATCGTCATAATTTACAGGTTTATTATTTATACCTCCCTAATAGATGGCATAAAAAGGTTGTAAATAGTTAAAAAGAAAGTTGAAATAGTTGTTCTGTCATGATTTAACATTAATTTAACTTTTTATTGTAGAATTATGTGCCTACGGTGTTTGAGAACTACACAGCGAGTTTTGAGATCGACAAGCACCGCATTGAGCTGAACATGTGGGACACATCAGGTATGGCATCAATACAGTCATGCTATCACATCACATTTCTGCAGGCAGTTTGATTATATGTTTAGAATGTGAAATTGGACACATTTTTAGATATTAAAATGTTTTCTATCTAGAATCCTAGATTATATTGCTTTGTTTTCAACAGCTTGTAACGTACAATGGGTTAACAGGTAAACAATATTCATAAACTGACATTTCACTATGAGCGTAATAACATGCGCGCCAATATGCTGCCAATTCACAAATATCAGCTTACTGAAATAACCTGGTTGTCCTGGTCTGCATGCAAACCAATAGCCTGGCACTGCAAGCAAACAGCATTTTAGACTTTTTTTCCCCAAGTTTATTTCCCAGTAGTGACATCAAGTGAATAATTTGCAAACTTGATTGAGTACTGTATTTGTTTTGTTAAATAAATCATTGGAAACCAAAGAACAGTACTGCAACATCAGTGGGTATGGCTCTAATATATTATCCTTTTTAGGATTTAGCATTTTGATTGAAGCACTTTGTACTTCTGCTTAACGATATGAGAACACAATTCATTTTTTGTTTTAGTTCGTGTTATATTTCCTCATCCCCAACTGCAAAGCATTTGCTTTGTGTGAACATTAAATCCACATTAAGGATGTTTTGGTATCACACTTCAATCAACTTTAATAAACGAACAGAAAGAAGTTCAAGGTGTAAATTGGCGTAAGAGGATAAAGTCTTTTTGTCATGACCAGTTAACACCTAAGCTGTTTATGACCTAACTCTAAATTAAATCAGGTTTAGAATGTGCATGTAACTCTTAGGTCAATGTAAGGTGGTGGAGAGAGCTGAAATATGTTGCAAGTTAAAGGGGAACTATTATTACAACTCTGAAGTCCCTAGAGTCTCTATGTGAAGTTTCAGCTCAAAAAAACCCACAAAAAATGCCTCTTTTAGGCTTTGATCCTTTAAATTCAAATAAGACTGTGCTCTTTTTAAAGAGCAGATTAAGTCAGCATAGTGGCAGATTCAAAACAAGACTACATTCATAGACTGTAAAAGATATAGACGTAGTATCCATGACGTCTCTCATAAGTTTCTTAAGAGCACAAATGAAGCTACATGTGGGCGTGACCAACCATCACCATTTTGTCCAAGCGTCATCGCACCGACCGTTGGTAACCAAACATGGGCAAAAAAGTGGAGCATGAGCTGAGCTACAGATGCCTGCTAGCATTTTGCCTAGATACTTGTTGTTGTTTTTTTGTGGGAGAAAAGTTTGATACTTCATTACCTGCGACTCATTTGTGTTCTGAATACTTGTGCTTGATTGTATACTATATCAATAAATTCTCTTTGGTCTTTTAAAAACACCGTTGTAATACAATGAGCCAAGAAGCATTGTTCTTATAACGTTTTTTTATAGGAGGAAAACTTTCAAATACTTCCACTATAATCTGTGTTAGTAAATGCAAGGCTATTTATGAAATCCAGGCATAACACTTTACGAAAACGTTTCAGATGACTGTTCTAGAATTTTCAAGAATTTTACTCTGGGAAATGGAGACAACTTAAATGTTTTGTGATCACAAAAAAACACACTTTGTACAAGGCTGTAAACATGTAAACATCAGTGGTAAAAATGGCCAATTTAACATAGCAGTCAGTGAACATCTTGAGTTCCAGGAGCCAGCCACCAAAGGCCAGTCGATGAATTGCAGTTTCAGTTACTTCAGTATTGGCTTCAAGTGGAAGAGTGTGATTTTGCCACTTGACTACTTCCTATGCTAATGATAGAGAGAGATAGTCATTAATTGGCGGGACTTTTTCTGATGACTTTTACTAAGGGAGATTGCCAGTGCAAGTGTTTCTGTTTTTATGAAGTGTGATTATTAAAACAAAATTTATCGATTTTTTTACAGTTATAAGCAGGTTATATTCACAGTCTGTAGCCACACAACTGTGTTTAAACCCCTTACAAAAGTAATTTTTGCATAATAGGTCCTCTTTAAGAAAGCACGTGCAAAAAAAATGCAAACATATAAATCAGTTTGACAACACATAGGCATGCAAATAGCAGAGACTGCAATGCAAATGTGTCAGGGGACCCCAAAAACCTGTTTAGAGTTTAACAGTTCATTTTAGATTAGGTGGCCCTATCACCAATTAGACTTAATAAGACACAAGGTGTGTATGGTGTGATTTGTTGCTATTTTCAGACCAGTGCAACCCTAATTTTCATGTTTTGTGCCACGCTGTTTAAATAGCAAATCCATTTGGGCCACATTGTGGACTCGCGTGTGCCGGTCTGAAAAGGAGATGTGTTAATGCGCATTTTAAGTTCATTTACGACAATCTGCATTTGTATAATGTTATTATTATCAGCAGTATTATTTATTATATGCATATTTATGTTTTAATAAATTTATTTGTTTGCTGGAAAATAGAACTGAATTTAGAAATAGTTTTGAAACAAATATTTGTGCTTAACAAACTAAATTAAATATGTAGGCTAATGCAGTGGTCCACAACCACCGGGCTGCGGACCGGTACCGGTCCATGGAACAATTGGTACCGGTTCACATAAGAAATCATAAATTATTTCTGTAGAAAATATTCCCCCCGCGACTTGGTTTCTTCCACTCACCCCGCCATCTCACGTTAAATGGACTATGCCAAAATCCACCACGGAGCGGGAAGAACGATCGCTACAATATCTCAGTGGTGGTTGTTGATAGTTTAAAGTTATAAAACAGGTATTATAGAGTCCAAGTCAGCAGAGCATTTAAGGACTGCATATATGTGTGCGTGCATCGCTAAGTAAGTACCTGAAATCATTGCAATTTATCTACATGGAGTTTCACATAATCATACTCATTAGGGCTGTAACATGCCAATGCATACATTTAATTCGGCTGTACGTTTGTATTATTGTTAATATGTTTGTCAGTTGAGATGTTTGACACAGATGTTATGTATTTGATGCAAATAAACCTTGTTTGAAACACAATCAGACCGTGATAGTGCAACTAGCGCATGCGCACTGAGTTGTTCATGATTAACCTGGATGTACGAGCGCAGCAGCTGTGTTCACGTGAAGACACTTACCATTGTGTGACGCAGCTGACTCTATGGGAAATGAGAATCTGATTGGTTTAATGCACGTTATACTCAAAACACACCCAAAACTCATTAAGAGAATAAGCACAACCCTGTTAGACCATGCGCCGGGGCGCAAACCGTATTTTTTCATCCTTAAAATAGCGAAAGTTAATTCGGACACACCCTTAATGCTTTTGTGCTATGCGCTTTACACTGCGTGCCTAGATTGCTTAAACAGGGCCCTAAAAGATCTAAAAATATACAAGCAATAAGGAAGCGTTGACCAGGACATTAAAATAACCTAAAACTCACCTGTCAGATCTCAGACAACACCACTGTCACTAAACAAAAAGCAGTCGGATTTATCACTTTGTTGGGTCCCTCAACATATTTCCCTTGTGGTCTGAATTATTTGTAGTGTATTTCTGTATTTCATGTGTTGTGAAAGTTAGTGTGCGCACGTGGTGTCCAATTGAGGAGGATGTTTGAGCTCTCCTGGCCATCATATTAACGTCTTTATCTGCATATTTAGCAGAGTCACTGATTAGAGGAATGTAGCATGTGACTTGTCTACACAAAGGCTATAGTGTTGCACATCTTCATATATTATACATGGCCGACTTGTAATCTTATGCCAGCCTCATCTACGCACGGACATGGTTCATTTCTATGCCTGCTGACTGCTGTCCGCTCACACGGCCTGAATGACCTCTCATGTTTTTCTACAAGCGAGTCTGAATACGCCTCTTGAGGTCTCTGGAGCGACTAACAAGAGTGTTTCAGCAACATTTTCTCGAATAAGTGATGTCTGAACTACAAAGCGAGTCGGCCAGCAGATCTCTTTGATTTAACAATACACAATGGACCAAAACAGACTTTATGAATACAGAGCAGGATATGATCTACTTATATTGCTCTTGATATCTGCGAATGAGATTTGTAATATGGACGTTCTTGTGTGGATTCTAGCAAACGAAAAAAAGTGGTTATCCAGAACTGCAGCAATATGTTAATGGCTGTGCATGTGTGTGTTTGGACTGTGCTGTCAGTGTGGATTTTAGTGCACATTTGCACTGCTGACACACACTCGTCCTGACACACACTTCAGGGGTTTTTCTCTGCAAGTGCGTCCCATAAATCCCCTGCTCGAAGCCTCTGCATGTTTCCCCACCCTGCTATAAAAGTCCTTTATGGGAATTTCTTTTCTTGTCATCTCCATTTTTAAGTTCCTATGGGAATGTTTTCCTGCCGCTGTTGTTGGTCTGCAGGGTTGTGTTGGGCCAGACTGTAACCCTGTCGAGAGTAAATCTTCACTTTACTGTAAGTGCTCTCATACCGCAGTCTGGGAGTCTGCATTTTAGTGTGGACTCAGTGATAGTGAAGCTTGGCTTGTTGTGAACTTTGTCGCTCTTTAAAACTGTTGTCGGTAATCTCTCCTGACAGCAGCCAGGCACACAGCAGTTTTGTGTAAATATATATATTTTTTGCGTTTCAACCGTAACATGGATTTATTGTGAACTGATCACAAGTGCTACATCAAGACTCATTACCATTTCCACCTGGTAGGCATTTTCAGTGATGACAGAAGCACTCAATGGGATGGCAGAAGCACTCAATGGGATGGATATACACTACTGCATGGACAAACTCCTGCAAAAAAGTGATTAGTTTGCTTTACTTAAAAGTGCAGTTTGTAGCAATTATACTTAAAGGTCCAGTATGTTCGTTTGACACACAGTGGTTAGTAGATATCACATTTCTGGATTAAAACAAACGCAAGCGCAAGTTGCCAGATAGAGAGTAGAAAGTCTGATGATCAAGCCTAAAGGCTGCTTTACTGCAAGTCATGTTTGTAATAAAATCAACAGCATGTGATTTAGGGAATATTTTCTTTTTGTTCTAACCAACACCTTGAATTGATATAA